CATGATGAAATTCTGTGTTTGGACATTGGATTTGGCTCCCCATCAAATGGCAGAAACCCATTTCTGCTAGTGTTGACTCATTCTGCTGGAAAGTTTCTAGACTATTGTACATCTTAGCCAGAACTTCCTTCTGATTTTCAATCTAAGCCACATGGAAATAATATTAAAAGGAAGCTTGTGCACTTTGAATTATATTCTAAATCCCTCTGTTTAGGCTGCCCTTCCATGGCCCAATATCCACCAGTAGGAGGCATTATCTGAACACTGTTGGGAAATATGCATTCCTAGGGAATGACATTGTTTCCTTATCTGGCTGAATTCAGCCTGAGAAGGAGGACTGTTGTTTCTAATGAAGAAAAAGCTCCACCCTCGGCCACTGCCACAGCTGCGGAGTCAATAGCAAGGGCAAAGCATTTTCCCTCTTTGTGTATCTCCAACATGGATGCTTTTCAGAGCATGTTAAAATTCTTTCTTAACCAGAAAACTGCTATTGGCTACAGCTTCATGGCTTTACTGACCTTGGGAGGTGAGCGTCTCTTTTCACTTGTGGCTTTTAAGTGCCCCTGCAGCTCTGAGAATACGGTCTATGGGTTGGTTTTCCTTTTTGCTCCTGCCTGGGTGTTACTGATCCTAGGATTCTTTGTGAACAACAAAGCATGGAAACTCTTCACAGGTTGCTGTGTGAACCCCAGGAAAATCTTCCCTAGGGGTCACAGCTACCGCTTCTTCTATGTCCTGGGCCAGATCACTCTGAGTTCATTGGTGGCTCCAGTGATGTGGCTCTCTGTGGCTTTGCTTAATGGAACTTTTTATGAATGTGCCATGAGTGGGACGAAAAGTTCAAGACTCCTGGGACTGATTTGCCAGGGCAAGCCCAAGGAGTGCTGGGAAGAACTTTACAAAGTATCTTGTGACAAAACTAGCATGCTACCCATGGAGAATGAAGAAGTGAAACTGTCCCTTCAAGCCCAGTCTCAGGTAAGAACAAACTCGCCTGTTTCTCCCCGCAGGAGCTTGAAGTATTCTCTGTCCTCCTTTCAGCCAGGGTGGAGTCTGAGTTCTGCCAGAATATTTTGAAACTAAATGGAAATTGGAACATGATGCAGCAGTAAGACAATCTCAGGAAAAGCTTTTTAGAAGTTGGATGGCTCAGTAAAATTGCTGATTGAATTATATCTTTTCCATTTCCGAAAAGAAAATATCCTCTGGGTTATGTATATGTAAATGCTTAAGTACTTTAAAGCAATCTCTCTGGGATGACTTTGTAAATAATGCATAACACCAAATCACAAACTGAGTGTTAATGGCTGAATGGTAATTAAACATTACTATCTCCTATCAAATATTCATTCTCTAACTGCTTTCTTGAAACATAAGCACAGCTTATCCATCTATTAAAATACAGCTGAATCAAATGAGCTACTACTTTTTAAAGTTGTATGTAATATAATTAGTGTAGGGATTCACTTGAGTGGTTCTGGTGATTGCTATTTCCATGTAAAGATATTGTCGAGATTGAGAAGAATTTTCTATACAATGTAGGACTCTGAAGTCTTAAATAGTGAAAACTGACCATATTCTCAAGGGAGATTATGTCTTTTACTCTTTTTGTCATACAGCTAAGAAAGTTCTTGCATTTCTTTAGAAGCTTAAGATATGGAATTTAGTGGACGAAAATTGTAGCTTCACCTAATTGATGCAGGGAAGTAGCTACCATCTGTCCAGGTATATGAACATAAATCCAGATGTACAGCCCTTCCCTGGCTTTAGGAAAAGAATGTGAGTAGTAGGAAATGCATTCCCCAAACCAAAATAAGCAGTAGACAAAAAGATTTGTCTACTGTCTACAATTTGGCAGGAATACTGTTTGTTTCAGAATAAATGTACTGAAAAGAGTATGATTTTGCTTTTTTTGACAAAGATTTGCCTTTACAACACAAACAGCAAACTCTGTTCTTAAAATCATATTTTCCAAAGCTGGTTGGCAGTAAAGTTATACTTTCTTTATAAACTGATAAGCCAAAAAAAAAATACCTCAAACAAAATCTTTTGTTTAGTACATAAAGTACATCTTAGATAAAACATGTCAGGCTCCCAAATGTCTTCCATCTTTTGTTGAAGGAAGGTATTAATTACGAATGTTATGGCAGAATGAATGAGTTATGGTTTATGTCCTCAGGCACCAGGCTCGGTTCAGTCAGTGCCAGGTCCAAACACTTATCACTGTGTAAGCTTTTCTTCTCTAAACACAGGCACAAGGAAATCATGCACATCCTGTCATAGCTGAGACTGGGCACAATGACATGTTGACTTTTCAGCAGAATGAGAAAGACCTGGGGCTGATTCCTATGGGAAGATGCCCCAGAGATGTGGACACAGGGAGTTGTGGCAATAGCAGGTGCTGACCATGAGGTTCAGATAGGCAAAAGGCAACATACAGTTCAGACCAATAATTGGGCATGTGGGTGGGAGTGGGAAAAGTACATTCATCCCTGGGTGGGGCAGAGCAACAAGAAATCCAGCTGGATGACTCTATTATTAAGGACAGTCAACTGGAGTAGTGGAATGGATCAAGACTTGGAGTTAACTGGCTTTGGGTTTGAATCCTGATGCTCCCACTCATGAGCTATGTGACATAGAACTTGTGTTTCAGCTTCTCTGAGCACCAGTTTTCTCATGATGGGGGATAATAACACCTACATTGGACAGTAGTTGGAAGGTCTAGCACAAAGCTTCTAGAACACATAAGTTTCCAAGTTCTTGAGAAAACTGCCAGGGTTTGGGGAAGGAGACTTATGCAACACAGGACACTAATAAGGGCTGGGGTGGAAGCATCTACCACACTGTAGTTGGAAATGTGGATACTGTGAATTGAGGAGAAGGACAAAAATATTCAGTGTTCAGCAC